CTCTCTCTCTCTCTCTCTCTCTCTCTCTCTCTCTCTCTCTCTCTCTCTCTCTCTTGCCTCTATAAATAGACTCAACGCTACTGCGATTGCGGTCCTACATCGTGCAGCTATTTTCGACAGACATCGCTACTCGTTACAGTTCTCTGTACGCCAGCTCCACAACGAGTTTCCATCGTCGATGGCTCCTCGAACCCGCGAACAAAGACACGAATGCCCTGTTTACGCTGCGAGCAATAAGAATCCGCCGGCTATAGCGGTTTCTCAGCGACCTGCTGCTTCTTCCTCTGAAGACGTTGATCATTTCTAAAACGAACATTTATTACAATTTAATGATTGTATAATTGATATTTGATCACAGCAAGACAAAGTGATAGCTTTATAGAGTGGTACCCAACTGAAAGTCGAAAGTTTTCGTGAGGGTATTGGGACTTCGTGGCCAGATAGTGTTCGATCACATCGGTAATTAATGGAGATCATCCAAGTGGACATCTAGGCAGTTCATCCATTTCAGATCTTCATCAAAGTGACTTTAAGCGAGTGTTTAATTAAGAGGGAAACCTAGACCAAAGTCTTTCTAATGCTTCTATAGCAATAGTAATGGTTACCTGGTACGGAAACAGCATCAGTGCTAGGTAGAATACCCTACGCATAGACTGTCGAGGATGTTTAGCTCGCTGAGACTGACTACCATGCGCTCGCACAAGAATCGTGCTCGACCAGGAAGCGTAGCTACATCTGCCAGTTCCGATTCAGCTCGGCCCGACGAGATTTCACCTCAGTCTTATCATCCGCACAGTTTCTTACTATTGGATGACCAGGATAGTCCTGTATCCACCCCTTCCAGTGTTTCCTCCAAAGTTGCTCAGGTCAGAGTGGAACGTGAAGGAGGAAGTCTCGGAGTCACTCTCAGAGGCGGTGTTTCTAGAGCTTTGGTGGTCACTGGAGTAAAGTCTGACGGACCAGCGGCGAAAGAAGGAAGAGTTAGGCCTGGAGACAGATTATTAGCTGTGGATGATACTGAATTAAGAGGTCTGACTTTAGCGGAAGCTCAAAGAGCTCTCAGGAGAAGCTCTGATGCTCCCGTGGCTTCCTTGACTATTGAATATGACGTTGCCAACATGGAAGAGGCCAGAGCAGCTACTTCCGGCCCTCTGCTAGTACAATTGGAACGTGGAATTTCAGGTAATCTAATTTTCTGTATTTCAGATATGAAGCAATTACCTCGTATATATGTACCTATATATATATTTATAGGGGAGCTAGGACTAACGGTCAGAGAAACACCAAATGGAGTTTACATTGAAAGTTTAAGACCAGCAAGTACGGCAGATAGGTGTGGGGCCTTGCAACCGGGGGACAAACTCTTGGCAGTGGACGAAACTCCTGTCCAGGATGCTGTGACAGCTGCCAAACTACTCAGGAACAACTTTGATTCTCGTATAGCTAGGTTGCAGATTTTACCCAGGCCTCCAAGTGCTTCACAGAGAACCGTGAAGAGAAGGGCACAACCACAGGCGCAGCAGACTTCCAATCAGACTTTACAGACCAAAGAAAGTCTGACTGTGATTCTTAGACCTGATCATAAGGGATTTGGTCTCGCTCTAAAATTCGCGGAGGACCGTCTAAATTATGTTGTTAGTATATTGGAGGCTGGAGGTCCGGCTGAACGTAGTGGAGTTCTTCTGCCAGGAGATAAAGTGCTTGCAATTAATCGTAGAATGCTCAGAGATCTCCAGCCAGCTGAGGTAACTGGCATCTTGGAAACTTCACAAGTGGTAGGTGTAGTAATTAGTATAGTTGCACTGCAAATAAATTACGTAATCTTCCATTTTATTATCTCCATTCTTTAAACTTTTGTTAGTTTTAAGTATAGATTTTCTATCAGAATTATTTAAAAATAATTTAGCATTTCGCGTCTTCTATTGTCTTCTTCAATCGATTTCATTTTAAATGTCCTAGCAATTTTAGTTTATATCTCTACATTGCTAAAGCGATTCCTATTTATACAAAAAATGAATTGAAAGCTTCTTTTATTTTTATAGATTGAACTGGTAACAGAGTACAAAGTTGGCGGACCGGTTGTACCTAGCTCAGGAGTGTTCACAGTGCGAGTAGCAAGACCTATAGGTGGGCAACCTGACGTAGGCCTGACAGTAAACGAGGACCTGATCATTACTGAGGTTCGCAAGGGATCTCTGGCTTACAGAACTGGAAGCCTAGCTCCAGGGGACAGGTTACTTGCTATAGACGGGCAAAAACTGGACTCTGGTGACCTCAGACAAGCCGCACAACTGTTACATCGACCAGGAAGTTCGGTTATCGCTCTGACTGTCAGAAAACCTGACCCTGCATCAGAAACTAGGTAACTATACGGCCTACAAATACCTCATCCCAAGGATCCAAAGTGAAAGTAATATGAAGAAATTATAAAGGAATACTGAAATTTGCAGAGAACACTGCAAGGATTCTAGTATAGGAAGCGATTCAGTGCAACAATATCCCCCAGGAATACTTCGACCAGCTAGAGAAAGCCTACCCAGCGTAGACAGTGCAGTGGATTCTTGGGGAGAACTAGGAGAGAATAGTGGAACAGGTCCAGAGATTCTAAGACTTTGGGACACGGCTTCTGTGGACAGCGGTCAACTAGATTTGTCTATGCCTTCTTACCCCGGGTAAAAAGAGAAGAGAAATAACCATAGAACTGCTAAAATCTTTCTATTCTATTGTCTTCGACCTAAGGTCATTTTTAAGTATAATCATAATCGTCTTTTATTATTTCTTCTGATCCTCAGATCACAGGAATGCAGCAACCCAGATAGACTTCAACAAATAGTTCATGTTTCTCTACACAAAGACCCAGTTTACGAAGACTTTGGTTTCTCCGTGTCTGACGGCCTGTATGAACGTGGAGTTTATATAAATCGTCTTCGACCTGGAGGGCCCTGTGACGGCGTCCTAAAACCTTATGATAGAATTCTACGGGTAAACGAGGCTAGCACGGAAGATTGTGACTGTTGCTTGGCTGTCCCATTGATCGCTGCGGCTGGTGCACGTTTGGACCTCACCATAGCTCGACCAGTGTCTCCTCCTAACATTATAAAAACTCTATAAAGGAGAACAAATCGAAGTAATGGAGCAGTATCATGCGGAAAATGGTGGTGAACATATCTGGTATATTTTTGTACACACCTGTATTTTATTTATAAAAATAAATGTATAGATTGCTTTCAGCTAGAACATGTTCTCCTGCATACAACCCACGCACACCATATCTGAACACACGTCCGAAGAACATCAACGTGACATGTGTTTAACCCTCTATGAATTACTTCTAGAGAAAAAGGTATAATTGTTAGAACTAATATAATAAAGATTCAATACCTACACCAATCTAGTCGCTATAAATAGGGGATCTAAATGAAATTAGCACCACACAAGGATCCAAGTTTTTAAAATTTGTAAGATCTTATTATATTTGTTTCAACAATTATACTTTCAAAATTTATAAATTAAAATTGCGTAGAACAAATTATTTCGGTGGTAATTATCCATGAAAATGGAAGTCTTTGGAGAGTATTGTTAATCGGAATATTCATAGAGGCTTAAAATGTTGTAACAACCTAAGGAGTAGAAGAAATTGAATCATAACACCTGAGCTAATAGCTGAAGGAAGGTATTCAATTTAAAACCTAATCAATACCATATGAGCGCCGCTCAATATCAATTACGCGGTGTTGAAACCTGATTTCTATCTATTCGTCATTGTTTTCACAACGCGGGAATGTAGTCGATCTTAAACGCTAATTGACCCAGCAATCAACTGTGAACGTCAATGATTTTGCGAATTATACAATCCCACCTTGCCAGCAAGTTTACTTTCCCATGAAAAGCACGATAATGTTAATGTAAAATCATTCTAAAATAATTCCTGAAGCGAATAAAAAGGAAAACAAGCTAATCTAAGTAATAGAAAAATTACATTCTTGTGCAGAATAATACTAATAAATACTTCTGCCAAATCATATTCTTGCAAAAATTATATGAGTTTCGATTTGTATACCTCATTGCAATTAGCATGTTGTTATAGTCACATTGCTATGATTGAAACATCATGCACTGACAGACAAAACTCATATAAATTTATCAAACATGAAACAAATCTATCAATTCAGACTAGACTTCAAACAAGTGCTCCTTCTTTTCAGTCCATCCATTTACCATGAAGGAGCTAGTACTTTTACCATTACGATTCTTATCATAATACGGTGGAAGCAGTGTCCGACTATTATCTATTCTTTGATCATACTTGGCCTTATTGTAGCACAACACACCAAAAATGGCCAATGTCATTCCAAATATATTCAACCATGTCACTGGATTTCCAAGCACAAACAAGGTTACTGCAATTACGAATATACGTTTACTCGCGCTAGCCACTGCATATGTCAAAGGGGTGATAATAGATAATACAGAAAAGGCGATGATGTTCTGGAACCAATTCAGAACGCCATCCAAGAATAATAGGCCAATTACATAGAAACTTAAATCAACTGCTTCACCAGTAACTGGATTATGTATCAAACTTCCCAGATCATACAATAACCATATAGGAGAGAATAATATCAATGCTAGGCGACCCAAGATGAGTAGAAGCCTTAAGTGATGTATTCCTGTATCATGTAGAACCTGAAAAGGTATATATTACTCGTATTTTAAATCTATAGATATAAGATAAGTTTTAAAGCAAAATACATACCTTTTTAGAATAAATATTCTGTAAAGAGAATGCCATGGTTGATGCTAAGGCACTCAATAAACCAATCATATTGAAGCTGAGTTCTGTGAGTGTAGCAATAGCCACACCCACCACAATTGGAACTAGGCTAAGATATACCTTCCAAGTTTGCTTTTCCTTTAGTATAATTCTTGAGAGAAATACCGTGAAGAAGGGCATTGTAGCCTTCACTGGGACAGAGCCAAACTTCAGTTAATATATGAGATTTATAAAACCAAAAATAAATAACATATTTATAGAAACTATTTCTAAAATATTCACAAATCTGAGCTTCAAATATTCATACAATAATCAAATAAGATCCATACAATTATTTTTACATTACAAAAAGGCTCATTTCTAATACCTCTTAGAAGTAAACTATTTATAAACTTAAATTATCAGATTATAGACTTATTGCTGTAGATTACATCTGTTAAAACTTTCTTTTAAAGTTTTCAATCACAAGTAAATATATTGAAACGAATGTTAATTACAATCAATCATAATTATCTTAATGTAAGCATTAACAGAGTACATCATACAGTATTAGCTCTCCCGCGTTTAGGCGCGAAGGTCGTTTCAATTTTATTTTTAAACATGGACACGCGTATAGTACACGTGACTGTCAAAATAATATCTCATACCAGTATGAGCATATGAGACTGGCACTTTCCAAATGCTGACGTGGCTGAATACAGTCGCTAAGAATTTGCCTAGGGCGAGTGGTACGATCAAACGCAAGTAGTATCCCCAGGAAATATCGTTCGAATACTTTCTCACGCCCCACAAATTAAAAAATGGCCCTGAGTAAACTGTGATTGAGGTTAACTGGACCATGGTCACTGTCATTGGGTACGGAAACTCCGACAAAAGCATCTTGCCCGCTACGTTACTGCTGCTTGAGATTCCATACCAAAGCAAGCACAAGAACAATATGGTGACCACTTTGCGGCTGCTCCGGCGATCATCCATGATTGCGTGAACGAGCCTTTCTCAAAATTCTCTACGTCCTCACTCCATACGTTTACACAGCTTACTTGCACAATACTTCCGACTAATCGGTATTTGCGGCCACTGCCACGAATGAAATTTGAGCACAGTTGGCATTTCTCTCTCCCTCTCCTACCAAGTTCTCCCTCTTTCCTTGCGCAATACTACCGAAACACGTGGCGCACGCTTTAAACAAAAATTGGCATGTCAAAAGACATTCATACAATTCGATTGAATAGCATAACCTGTTGGACCATTTAGAAACTTAATCTACATTAAATAGAATGCTTAAAGAAATCAAATAATTTTTGAATTAAAACTTTAGCATTTTGCATTAAATGTTTATAACTAGAAATGATAATTATGAAGAATTCGATCAAAGTATTTAAATGTTTTAGTATCAGAGAAATTTCTTAATAATTAATTTCTTACGTTCATTGGATCAAAATGGAAATTTCTATTTTCCTTTTAAAAAGATTTAAAATTCGCCATGAATGACTTTGCCATAAGGAAGAAGCAAAATTATTGTTCCTTGATGAATACTTTTTAACAACATGTTATAAAACTCAGTAATTGTTTCTTTTAAACTATTTAATTTATAATGTACACAGTAATGTCAATAAAAAGATAAAATTTCCCATCAGTATTACCAACCACAGTTGCATATAATTCCTATCTTTTAACAAATATCGTATAAAACTATATTAAAATATGTTCCTGATTTGTTAATTAAAAAAGACAAGAAATTCACTAACATATAAAAATTACATTTTGTTACAGTAATTTCAACAAGTGAAATTTATAACTCATTATTATTATTTCATTTCTATCAATAAAGTGTCCCTATTACATTTTAGTTATCTCATCTTCATTAATCAATTGTGAAATATAAAGTACTTTATTTAAAATTACCTGCTCTCGAATTTTAATATTTGTACATATCTATTGTCTCTAAAAAATTGTAGTAGTAATAAAAAATACATAAAATAGTAATTATTTTTTGGTAAAGGAATAAAACGAAGTTGTTAAAACACAAGGTAGGTGGCAGTAAATCTCGATGAAGGGATGTCCCGTTTTATACGGAAAGGATAATACGAATCAAATCTACGTTATAACTAATTTTTTTAATAAAAATTTACTCTAGTAACGAAGATTTACATGAACAATAGTATAATTGAAGAAGATAAGTACTTGTATATTATTTATGTGAACGTAGGTTATGCGTAATATGTTTCAAAGCATCGTTCTTTTATATTTTATAAGAACTCATAAGTGCAATCGTATTTTGTAATGCAGAAGTTGACAATTTTTTGATATTTTATTGTATAATTTCATCTAAATGGATCCTGTACCCTCACGGCCTTCAAGGAGATATCGTAATGTGTTTGGTATTGATATTCCCATCATAGAATGTAAACGGGAATTTTCTTTACCACACAAATTTCCAAGTATGGTTAATTCATTAAAAAACAAGTGCATGCTTAAAGATTACAAGACAGTTACTATTGCTAACCCAGAAGTATCTAATAGTCTGAATGAATCAAAGAGTAAAAAGATATTGAGTACAAATACTATACAAAAATTAAGGATAAAAACAAAAGATGGTAAAGATCTGGGAGAAGTTAAAGTACAATTTTTGGCTCAAAAGAATGTATTAAATACCTCACAGGTTGTTTACACTCAGCAAACTCCAACTTATAAAAAAAATAATCCTCCCAATCTATCTATTGCTTCACAAAATAATGGTAGTAACTTATTGAAATCATTAGGATCTCAGTCTCATATACTAAATATACAGAAAGATACTACAGGACCACAATATAGTGTAGGATCAGAAATTATTGTAAAATCTGTTTCTTCTCCTGGCTTATTGACAGATATTAATAAAAAGTCAGATGAAACACAAAATGAAAACATAAACATACATCATATTGTAAATGAAATAAATAAAATCAATCAAAGTAACAAATTACTGTTATCAAATGAGAATGGACATAAATTGTTTCATAATACCCAAGAAACTGTAGAATTAGAAAATAATAATTTAGTATTATTAAATAAAAAAAAGAATGAAGATTTATTCATAGAAAACAAATGTACCTACGACAGCGAAAAAAAAGATGTAATAAATGAAAGTATCTCTATAGCAACAAAAGCAGAGATTCCAAACGAAACAAATGTATCAGATGTTAAAAACTCTAAGACTCAATTGGCAAAATCAAAATTTCCTATAGTAAAATGTGAAAAGTTATCAATGCAGAAAACTAATGCAAAAGAAATCACTACATCTTCTACAAAGATAAATAAAAAGAAACGACGTTTTAACTCGAACACGTCTTCTAGAAAAAAGATTATTAAATTAAATAATGACATATTTAGTTCAAACCCCACTGAAGTTAAAAGACATAATGTAAATATTTTAAGAAAGCCAACAAATTCTACACAAATGGAACTTCATAATAAAATTAATGATTGTAATAAAAGTGATTTTGTAGTAATATATGAAAAACCTACAATTACGGATCAATATTTCAATAATACACAGGATGAAAATTATATTTCAGTACTTGTAAATAATCCAGATTCATGTAAAGACAAGATAATTTGTAATAATAAAGATATACAAAACAGTGATTCTAAATTTGAAAGGAGTAATGATATAACAAAAAAAAAAGAAATTGAACATAATACAGAAAAAGAAAACTTTTCAGATTGTTTAAGTGTAATTAAAGAAGCATTGACTAGTGTGAAGGATGAACAACTTCGAGCTAAAGCTTTGCATGCTCTTGCAGAGTGTGGAATAGGCATAGCAAAGGAAGTTCCAATTACTCCTCCTGATAAATTAAAAACAGTTCATGATTCTCAAATCCAAACTGATGTATTTGGACTTCTTGATTTTGAAAATTTTATATTAATGAAAGCAGACACATTTGCCCTAGAAAGGATAAAGCATAGAGAACGTTCAAGTATTAATTCTCTACCTCTCATGAAAGAAGTACAAGTACAAACAGAAACACAAATGCAGCCCAAGACAAAACAGAATAATTATATTAACGATATAGATGTTTTACCTATGTGGAATTCAGTGCCTTTACAAGATACAATAAACTTAGATAATTTCTTAAATGAAAATTTAAATAACAATCCTAATACAAATAGAGTAAAAGAAGTATTATCAATGCCACATTCCTTATGTAAAAAAATATCCATACAATTAGAAAGGGACTATGAAGGAATGCAGCACTGGGATGATAATGGGTTGTTAAATATACATCGGGCAGTGATAGGTGATCAACTACATACAGTACAGAGATTATTGGTAGTTTTAAAAGCTTCAAAAACTAATATAGATGTATTAACAGAAAATGGAATGGTAAATTTATAACTATTTATTAATATAAGTAATATAAAAGAGAAAAAAATAAGAATGTAATATATTTTTAGACAAGTTTGGAACTAGCAATTAAGTTTGATGTATCTAAAAACATAGTAAAATTATTACTAGAAGCAGGAGCAAAGCCAGTTTTATCTGATCTCCTTCATGACTCTGCAGTAATTTTAGCTAGCAAATTATCATCTCCATTTTTAGTGGATCTTTTAAATTATGTAACAGAACCCAAACTTTTAAACCACGTGGATTTATCAGGTAAGTATTCAAAAATGAAATAAATAAAAATACCTATTCTCTAATTTGTATGTGTTTTTAAGGAATGGCTCCATTGCATTATTGTGCATTAAATGGATATTTAAGTGGGGTTAATGCTTTGATAAAAATGGGGGCAGATGTAAATCTACAGGATAATCATTCAGGAAGAACACCATTTTTCCATGCACTTGAAAATGAACATACACCAGTTGCGCAAAAGTTATTAGAATATAATGCAATTGCAGATCTACCAAACTTCTCTGGGCAGTCTGTTATGAGTTTGGTAGATGAGGCAAAGAGCCTTTCATTAAAGGTTGCATTTAACTAAATAGTAATTTAGTTCTCTGTTACTGAAACTTCACTTCTAAACTCCTAAATGATATTAAAGTATTATTATTGATATGGTTGAACATCACAATAACTACTAAATTATTAATTGTTAATCTGATTATATTAAACATAAATGCAAATTTTATTTCTAATTTTACAATCTACAATTGTGGTTCCAAATTAAAAAATCTCTGATGCTCTTTAGTATCTTTATAGAACTGATATTCCATTTTGGAACTGTGTTCTTTATTATTTTGTTTGTGACATAATTTAGGAAACTATTATAAATATAATGGTAATTGACAAAAATGCTTATTAGATTCTTTCCACATTTTAATTCAATAAAAATTACAGTGAGGTTATTGGAATTATAATTTTTATTCTCAAAATTAATATTATATAGTATGAATTATTATATAGTAACATCAGTGATGTTGCAAGGAACAGTTTAACAGTAAAGACCAGCCATTTGCCAATATTTCAAAAAATTTGAGATATAAAAACAGCAAAAATGATCAATTAAACACTATTTCACATTTTCAAAAGTAAAGATATTTTTACCAATTAATATTGGACACTATTCATTATTGAAATGGATGTACTTGATATAAATCAATTATTTTATCAAACTGTAATTTTTATTAAATACAGAAAATTCTAAACAGCTTTATTGTATATTTCTTTTGATAAATTTATAATATTAACAACATTAATTGTTAAATTATTGTTTATATAATTTTTTAACTCTACTTTTATACATAAGGGAAATCACTGCCAATTATTGTAATCATTTCTTTATTGAAATGTTCAAAGTATGCTAAATGTACATAAGAATCAACAAATAAATGAAATAATATTTGTAAATATTTCTTGTTAATGTATATGTAAAAATACAAAGTTATATTTTAAATATAATTATAATTAAAATCATATAGTCTTCATTCATGATTAATTAATAATTGTTTAATATTTTAAGAATAAGAACTTGTAGTAATTTGATATAAATTTTTTTCATTACATCTAATGTACACTCAAATAAATATTAAACTTTTTACTTGCTGTAATAAACTTTATTGATATTTACTTAATATTTTTTAAATAGAAAATTTTTCTATTTAAATATAACTTCCATACTTGAATTAAATAAATTAAAATAAGTAAATATGTTTGAACTGAATTCAAAATGAATGTTAAATTTAAAACCCTGATGCTAGTTTGCAATGCAGTAAAATTACACTTTTACTGTAGCGCAATCTGTAGGAAAAACACGTATTTGGGTTAGTGCGTCTTAAACATCTTGTAGTTTATGATACACCTGTTATCAAAATGTCCGTAAACGTAAAAGAAAAGTAATCGTTATTTTTTAAAGGTTAAAATTTAATAATTTCTGTTCAATAAAGATTGGCAGTTACGTTTTACTCTCATGGATTTGGAAACTAGACGGAAGAGTTGCGATAAGAGGTCAGTTACTTTAATAGTCTTATTGAAACTCTCAAAACGTATTGTATTTGTTACAACAAACAAACTATAGTGTTTCCTTGCAATTAAAGCAATCATAATTAAAATAGACGCAAAATGTTTTGACGGTTTTACTATGAACTTATATTGGTCTAATTATGTTAATTATTTATTTATCCTAATAGTTTTGACACAGATGACGATTCTGATTATGCTATGATAAAACGAATTAAAATGGAACCAGAAGCTATTTTGTCTCAAGAAGATGATATAATGGCCCAATTACAACAAGAAAGCTCTGATTTAGAAGTAGAGCCGAGCTTTACATTGGAGGGCTCTGCAAATGGAGAGGATTGCAATGAAGGTGTTTTAATGCAACATATGGACATTAGAGAGCCCCTTTCCACCTTAAGAAATTTATTGGAACAAAGACTTGGAGTAGAATTAACAGATTATTCCTTTTGGTTGCAAGATGCACAAATGGTAATCATTGCAACTAATCGATAAAATGATTTTAAATTTGGTAACATATGTTCTGAAACTTTTATCTATTCTTTAGCTAGAGAGTCACAAAAATTTGGTTGATCAATGTGTACAAGGGGAAGGATTGGTTCAAGTAAATGTTCAGATAAAGGCAACACAGAGGAGAATAAACATAGTGGATGTTCTAAAGCCTGCAGAAGATTATATAGAGCTAGCAGAAAACAATGGTATCTATGAATAATTATTGATGAAAAACAGTAAATTATTGTCCTTCATAATACATATAATTTTTACTATCTAGCTTCTACTCCAGTTAATGAAGATAGTAAACGAAACGTTATAAGATGGATGGTTGATCCACAATATAAGAAGGAGCAGGTACAATTTTTCAAAAATTATACTTTGAATTTAATTTTCTGTAGATTCTATATCAATTTTCTATATTTTTTGTCAATTTTCTATAAGTTATATTTATATAAACTTTTAATTTATACCATAACTGTACACTTGCATGTATTATACAGGAACGGTTAAAAATTCCAGCCGATCCAAAAGAATGGACACAGACACACGTCAAGCATTGGCTTCAGTGGGCAGTTAGACAGTTCAATTTGGCTTCAGTAAGATTAGCTGATTGGAACATCACAGGTCAACAATTGTGTAATCTCACCCTAGAAGAATTTCAGGCTAAAGTGCCTCTAGATCCAGGAGAAGTATTCTGGACTCATTTAGAATTGCTTCGAAAATGTAAATTTGTCGGTTCGTAAAAAAATTATAAAATTAATATTAAATTATTGTCGAATACTTAATTAATTGTGAGATTTTATAGCTGTCGTTCAGAAGGATCCCCCAGCGTCACCTACAGAAAACAACGTGGATAAAACTATCAAAGTCCGTAATCAGAAGGCTGCGAAGCCTCGACCAGTGGTAAATCAACAAGCACGAGTAGTCAGCGTTCCGTTAGAGAACATTGATGCTACACCTATCACCATAGCAACTTCGAGTCGTTCGGTTAATAGCGGTCAAATACAGTTATGGCAATTCTTGCTGGAGTTGTTAACAGATCGTGAGCACAGAGGCGCCATTCAATGGGTTGGGACCGAGGGAGAGTTCAAGTTGAATCAACCGGAAGCAGTGGCGCAACTTTGGGGAGCGCGTAAAAACAAACCATCAATGAATTATGAGAAATTGAGTCGCGCATTGCGTTATTATTACGACGGAGATATGATTTCTAAGGTGCACGGGAAGCGATTTGTGTATAAGTTCGTATGTGATTTGAAACAAGTTCTAGGTTATTCGGCAGCGGAATTGAGTAGATTGGTGGAAGAGGGTACAAGATATTTCTGATGGCATCTTATTTTTTTATGGTTACAACGATTTTTATCACCGTATTTCCGGAATGTGTTACATCAATCACTGTACATATTTAATAGAAGATAAAAGAAAATGAAGAATAGATTATTGATCAGACAATCGAATTGTACATCGAAATACAAAAATTATTACAGAAATTGGTATTTTGTTTTTTTCTTAATTAAATACACCACCCTTAATATAAATCAGTACATCGTTCATATCTTTAAAAAATCTTTAACAGAAGTAGTCAGATATACTTCCTATATATGCATGATACTTAAGATTCGGAAAATAAATGCATCTACAGTAAATATTTCTATACATTTCAATGTGAATATATAACAGTATCTTTATCGATAGTTCTTTTTTTTATTACAAAATATCTCATACTACGTTAAATTATATTGAGGCATTATATATTCACAAGAGAACTCTTAATTTTTCAAGATGCACCATGCAATAACGGATAATAGACCTTCGAATGTCGAGTCTCTTTAACTTCACCATTCATAGAGCGTCGACGTTTCCGGCCGTTTTCTATCTCTGATGACTAGGACTGACTTTTGATCGGCAAAAGGCAGCACTTATCGCCAATACCAGAGAATCTAGCCTGTGAGATATCGGTCGCGACGTCACAAGTTAGGGTCTCAGGGGACCGGCGACGCGGCAGGCTTTACAATCAGCCCGCCCGCCATTGCCCTTTTTCTCATTTCATTTTTTCTCCTTCTTTTATTCGCTACTAATTGCACACACATTCACATACCTACATTTTCACCGTTTAAGAGGAGCCACCACCTTATATGGCCTTTTATAATCTCCTCATCATCTTATAATTATATTATAATTACTACCAAATATATACAATAGCTTAGAATAGTGTTTATAATACTATATCACTTATGGTGGTAGATCTTCTTCGTCTTCTCTGACAAAGATAATTGCATTCAGAACACACGCGATTAATAAAATTTGCGAATTCTTTTCAGTAACGATACGATTCGTAACGAATCGAACGATGTTATCCTGAAGTTGCTGTTGAATGACGAAACGTTGTGGCGTCGACGACCGGGAAAGTTAGCAAGTTGTACAGTGGACTTCGTATATCGCGAATTTCCATTCTCTACTATACAACCTACTACCTCACCCAGGCGTCGTCGCTGATGCGACTGTCCTCTTCATGACTGCCCCTTCCATAGACATTAATGTACAATAGTATTGTGTATATTTATAATAATGTATAATAATATTTGATAATTAATGTATATTAAATAACAGTCATATAAAATGTTAATAATTATTACAATTATATACTCTATTTACAACACAAAGTTGTCAAAATTAGTTTTAATGAAGCAAATACATTTAAATTTTGTGTTCCAACGTTTACTTGTAATTAATCGCTCGTTCAACCGGAAATAACAGAATGGCATAGACTGCTCATTTCTTATTCTCTCATACTCAATTTCATTTATGATGTCGTTCTCCCCTTCACCTCCTCTCTCTCTTTCTCTCCCGCTTCTCTCTCTCTCTCTCTCTCTCTCTCTCTCTCTCTCTCTCTCTCTCTCTCTCTCTCTCGATTGAGCAAATTGCTTAGTGAAAAGTGTACGCATTTATAACCGGAAGTGCTGCGGACTTTCAGGAGGGCAGTGGGGTGTATGAAGGAGAAGGAGGAGGTTCCGTCGAAAAGCTTAAATGTTGGCCTGACTACATGTACCAGTAGATAGGAGCTTGCGGTATACATATAAAAAAGCCCACAAGTTCGGATCTACGGGTTAGTATCATCAAGTATAGCTGATAACGGCTATCACTGGATCGTTCCATGTTGTATTTTCAACTTCCTTTTCTCTGCTTCCTTTTGTCTCATGAGAAGTACTGTAACTGAACCTGCAAATTAATAAAATGAAATTGAATCGCAATAAATAAATATAATATTCGTTTCTTCAATCTTTCTTCAACAAGGCAAGTTTATCAGCAAATAGAAGAAGGGTGTAACGGATATGTTAACGAAGTTATTAAAGGACTCATTTAAGTGGATAAGATAACAACTGAAATCTCGGCTTACTTAATGTACTTAATGATCATAATTCGCGCCAGGGGGTTAACGAATTTCAGTAATTGTCAAATTCGTTTAACATTAATAAACTTATGGACCGACATATATTCCAAGATTATTATTCAGAGACTTCTTTTTTTTTATGCAATTTCGTATAATTCGAAGGGCCTTAGGTTTCTCACGCGTGGATCCCTGGCTTGCCACGCCGTTGCTGGGTAGAGAGATCAGGAGGGCATAGAAAAAGAGAGCCGGGGCTATCCTACAAGAAATAAGACGAAGAAGAGGACGAAGAAGAGGACGAAGAAGACGGAGAGAGGGAAGAAGAGTATGGGAGAGTAGGTAGAGAGTCCGGGCGTTGTAAAAATCTCCTGCCTGCTTCGCTCGTAGACAGTTGAATGGCCTCTGCATCTCTCCTCACGTGGCCCTAAGGGATGTTAGGCACCGTTTCCAACTGACCGATTATGCTTTACAATCTGGACCCTGAAATATGTGCGATAAATTACAAAATATTCTGGATCAACTGGTTATTTTCTACTTTAGAACATAAAGTACTTGGGTATTTGATTCTGAAAAGATTCCTTACGTCTAATACCCATGTACAAAATGGCAAAAAATGTGAATTTTACCTTAGGTGTCGTTTAAAGACAAATTTATCGTGAATTTGGATTGTAAATCTCGAAATTCCATGTTTCTTTGAAGAAAGAGAGATAGGGGAGTTGAGATTGTTCGTTGTGAACGGGTCTTAAGGTCTGGAAGACAGCGAAGAAGGATCTGGATGCAGGAGTAGTCGAGCGGGAATTATGTACGCTACACGAAAAGCTGCAATCCTCCCTTGATTCCCCGGCAATCGTCTTCTCCCTGGTCTCCTCCTACCATAAAAAAGAACAAAAAAAAGAACTTTTTAGTAACTAGTAGTCGATGATCGTCTTTGTTGAAAGCGGTAAGAAATCAACGAAAACATTTCGCTTTTACATACAATATTTATTATCTCTCAAAATCGTTTCGAATTATTAAAATCGACACAACCATTAAAATTAAAGTCCTCCAAAAAAAGTACCTTATCTCAACTTAATTCTAATCAATTATAATTAACATTCCCTATATATCTCCTCCAAAACTCTTAAGGTTCGTTATAAATTTTATAAGATTTAACGTATAAAGTTCAAAAGCCCGCGAGCAAGCCTGCCAATCATCAGTTGGTACGACTGGAACAACCGTAAAAGTAACAGGAAAGATAAGAGGATCAGAGGCCTCTTCTCGCTCGGTTTTTCTTCCTCGAGAGACAGAGAATAGAAAGCTCCAGGGGCAAAAGACAGGGTAGGGGGAGGGGAGAGAAAAGAAAGGAAGTTAAGCAAAGTGAAGAGAAAGGAAAAGAGAAGGGAACATACGAAGAAGCGAAGTGGAATGGTCCCGTGGACGAGGAGAAGACGCGGGGGTAGAGACGTAATCACAGGGGCGTTGAATTAGGGAAGCATCGAAGGGAGTAGTGGGGAATCTAGGGGTTGGGGGAGGGAGGAAGAGTCGACGGTGGAGGACCGGGGTCACCGCCATATTATATTTAGCGAGACATAGCCGTGTGAATGAACTGCATATCCCAGGGCCGAACGACCTAACTTTGTCGATGATATTTTTGAAATATTCTTCCAAATCGATATGACCAATCTTACATCCATCTAATTCCTTCCCCATTCTTCTGTGAAATTCTTTACTATTATAACTGTTTCCAAGAAATTTGTTCGTAACGGTGTAGAATCAAACTATGAACACATTTTCTCATGATATTCTTCTCAAAGTCATAGACTTGTTTCTTAAAGGCAGTGAAATGTCGCTGAGATTGCTTAATTGAGTAAAAAATCAAAGGAGATTTTGTAGCTTGTAAAGCAGGACAATTTTGTAGTCTGTCTTTGCAAGGATGAATAGTGGACTCTGAAAGGGAAATAGAATTCTGGGTAAACGAAATCTATGGATTGTACTATTGAGATAAACAGGAATAAAATTATAGTAGATACCTGATCTTCAACATCAAATACTGTTTAATTCTATTCTTTCATCAAGTTTTTTGGAGATAAATACTTGACATAATATCAATGATTCAATGAAATATGAATGAATTTTTTTTTCCATTAGTAGGTATACCTCTCCGATGTTTATTATGACTTTAATTTATGCTTCTTCGTGTTGTTATTATTTTTGTCACTGATTATGGTAATATTGGCTGGTTGGTAGTTCGTTTACGTACTGAATCGGTTTCCAACAAACGATCCTTTATCTTTGCCGATACATTCTCACCTCGTATCGCTTCGTGGAATGTAACACTGGTAAACAATGAACGGTAACAGGACACACCAATGCACGCACGTCTATAGATATTCAATGTTGCTCCTTAGCCCAGAAAAATTCACAATGGGAGACATTTTCCACTTATGAACCCTAAAAAAGAATCTTTAACTTGCATATTGTAAAACCTACATCTAACGATACACTAAGTCAGTTACCATCCTTGCTACCAAGTTTAACATTTCTTTCGTCAATTTCCTTACTATAGGAAAGCGAATAATCGTTGTAAAGTTCTTATCAACATTTCACGAAACAATTACAGTGTTTCTCAAACTTCATCGTGCAGTTATTGTAACGACCTTCCATACTATGTCCGACATTTACAGGATAGTTTTTCAAGTTTCGACGATCACGTGAATTAGTTAAGATAGATTAAAACTTCATAAAGTTTAAACTGTTTCAATCGAGATATGGTAATACATGGGTGAAGGAAATGGAATATTAACTACAAGTTACCGGCTTAGAGTTAATTACATAGGCCTACATGGATTCCTTCCCATTGTCGCCGGCAGCACATAACCATAGTTATAAAAACGTGGTCGCGGTGGAGATAGATCTCTCCATGAACCGCAAGAAATCCGTGAAAAGAAAGGAGGAGAAGAGGAGCAGAGCAAAGTAAAAGAAGAGAAGAAGAAACGTCCCCATAGCAACACGATG